GTGGAAGAGCGATAAATTTACCGACTTATAACAATAAAATCCATGGTTCGATTCCCCTGTGCTGGAAATAAACAAGAAATAATCAAACTGCAATTATCCCCCCCCCCCCCGGACAGCGATAAGTCTACGGATTTACAACGCTAAAATCAGGGATTCGATTCCCCTTGGTGGATACAGCAAATAGCCCGATGTGGCTTTGCAATAAGAAAAACACACAATTGTCCTTTTTTTTTACCAATTTAACATTTTTATTCTTTTTTAAAACTTATCAAATAGTGGGACATTATCGTCCACTTCTACAGATTAACTCATTAACGTCTCCGAATTTCATAACGCTCTAGCAGGTCAATGAGTTGCGCGTGATGATTGAAGTTTTTTTTATTATTATTATTTGTTTATTTTGGGCCCGAACTCATGTTCTTTGTGAATCATTATGGAATCCACGTTAACTTTGAAGATTATAAAGTATAAGTGGTGAAACATTTTTGGTCCTACAAGACTCGTTACGCTTGATGCTTAGAACAGTTTTTGTTCTCTATATTCCATGCATTATGAGACCGCCGCCTAAACGGTAGAATGCTTCCACAAGCACGTATTTATAGGCACTATTTTTGTACCAATTCCTTCATTTAGATAATGAAGTTGGTGAACTCCTGGCATTTTTCAAACAACCGTCATGCTTTGAAAGTAATTAGGTCCCTGTTTTATTTTACTCTTTCTCTTTGAACAGAAAGGTTGCTGGTCAAGAAGCATTAAATTAATTACTTTCAGTGCATACGGTAACGTACTGATAATCATTACTTCGTGACCGTGTCTATGATTTATATATTCGTTGCGCACAATAAGATGAATTATAAATTACTCTTCCTTAGCCATTACCCCTTTCACACACAAGAACTTAGAGCTTCCTATGTAACTTATGATATTATTAAAATCTGTCTTTAGGCCCTTATTAACCGGTTTCGGCTTGTTCTGGTGGGAGTAATATCATATATGAGCATTATTTCTCTTCTACATGTATTTTAGTATGTAAAGTAGATGACATGTAACTCCGACAAAGACTCAAGATAAATCTCCAACTTGTACAACATGATTAATCCTGTTCTACAGATCTGAAATAGTTCCATAGACGGTATATGTGACACTTGGAATCACAATATAGGTTCATAGATTCTATATTTGACACTTAGAATAACGGTATAGGTCCATAGATGGTATATTTGACACTTAGAATAACGGTATAGGTCCATAGATGGTATATTTGACACTTAGAATAACGGTATAGGTCCATAGATGGTATATTTGACACTTAGAATAACGGTATACGTTCATAGATGGTATATGTGACACTTAGAATAACGGTATAGGTCCATAGATGTCATAGTTGTCAATTAGAATAATGGTATAGGTCCCTATATGTCATATTTGACACTTAGAATAACGGTATACGTTCATAGATGGTATATTTGACACTTAGAATAACGGTATAGGTTCATAGATAGCATATTTGGCACTTAGAATAACGGTATAGGTTCATAGATAGCATATTTGACACTTAGAATAACGGTATACGTTCATAGATGGTATATTTGACACTTAGAATAACGGTATACGTTCATAGATATCATAGTTGTCAATTAGAATAATGGTATAGGTCCATAGATGTCATATTTGACACTTAGAATAACGGTATACGTTCATAGATGGTATATCTAACACTTAAAATAACGGTATACATCCATAGATAGCATATTTGACACTTAGAATAACAGTATAGGTTCATAGATAGCATATTTGACACTTAGAATAACGGTATACGTTCATAGATGGTATATTTGACACTTAGAATAACGGTATAGGTTCATAGATGTCATAGTTGTCAATTAGAATAATGGCATAGGTCCTATATGTCATATTTGACACTTAGAATAACGGTATAGGTCCATAGATGTCATATTTGACACTTAGAATAACGGTATACGTTCATAGATGGTATATCTAACTTAAAATAACGGTATACGTTCATAGATAGCATATTTATCACTTAGAATAGCAGTATAGGTTCATAGATAGCATATTGGACACGTAGAATAACGGTATTGGTTCATTTGTGGTATATTTAACACTTAGAATAACGGTATAGGTCAATAGATGTCATACTTAACACTTAGAATAACGGTGTATGTTCATACATGTTATTTTTAAGACTTAGAATAACGGTATAGGTTTATAGATGATATATCATCAGTTAAAATAACGGTATAGCTCCATAGATGGTATATTTAGCGCTTTGAATAACGGTATAGGTTTATAGATGATATATTGTCACTTAGAATAACCGTATAGGTTTATAATTGTCAAACCTAACACTTAGAATAATGGTATACATTCATAGATAGCATATTTGTCACTTAGAATAACGTTATAGGTTCCCAGATAATATATTTAACACTTAGAATAATTGTATAGGTCCATAGATGGTATATTTGTCAGTTAAAACAACGGTATAGGTTAATAGATTATATATTTTACTCTTAGAATAGCGGTATAGGTCCATAGATGGTATATTTGAAACTTAGAATAACGGTACAGGTCCATAAATGTCATACTTAACACATAGAATAACGGTATATGTTCATAGATGGTATATTTGACACAGAATACCGGTATATGTTCATATATGGTATATTTGACACAGAATACCGGTATATGTTCATAGATGGTATATTTGACACGGAATACCGGTATATGTTCATAGATGGTATATTTAATACTTAGAATAACGGTATAGGTCCAAAAATGTCATACCTAACAATTAGAATACCGGTATATGTTCATAGATGGTATATTTAATACTTAGAATAACGGTATAGGTCTATAAATGTCATACTTAACACTAGGAAGAACGGTATAGGTTTATAGATGGTATATTTAACACTTAGAATAACTGTATCAGTTCACAGACGGTATATTTAACACTTAGAATAATGGTATAAGTCCATAAATGTTATACTTAACACTTATGATAATCTAATAGGTTCATAAATGGTATATTTAACACATAGAATAACGGTATAGACTCATAGATGGTATATTTAACATTTGGAATAGCGGTATAGGTCAATAGATGGTATTCATAACATTTAGAATAACGGTATAGGTTCATAGATGGTATATTTAACACTTATGATAACGGGATTGGTTTATAGATAGTATATGTGACACTTAAAATAACGGTATAGGTCCATAGATAGTATATTTCACACCTATAATAAAGGTATAGGTCCACAGATGTCATATTTGACACTTAGAATAACAATATAGGTTCATAACTGGTATATATAACACTTAGAACAACAGTATAGGTCCATATATGGTACATTTGACACTTAGAATAACGGTGTAGGTCCATATATTGTATATTTAACACTTAGAGTAACGATATAGGTCCATAGATGGTATATTTGACACTTAAGATAACGGTATATGTCCATAAATGTCGTACTTAACACTTAGAATAACGGTGCAGATCCGTTGAGAGTATACTTAACACTTATAGTAACGCTACAGGTTCACAGATGGTATATTTAACACTTAGAATAACGGTATAAGTTCATAAATCCAGGTAAAGTATTTAGCACATAGGATCACCTACAAAAGTTTTAATATTTTCAAAATGAGACCCGAAACTTGAGCGCTTTCGAATACTTGACCATTATTTTTCAAGACAATAACGGTACAAGCCCATGAATGTCATACTTAACACTTAGAATAACGGTGTAGGTTTATAGATGATATATTATCACTTAGAATAACGGAATAGCTCCATAGATGGTATATTTGACACTTAGAATAACGGTGTAGTCTACAGATGGTATATTTGACACTTAGAATAACGGTATAGGACTATTCCTTACCAACGTGGGATTGACCGTTAAATTATGACGGCCCAATGACTGAAAGGGCGAGCATGTTCAGTGATGGGACTAGAACCTGCAATTTGAATGTTCTAACTTCGTTCTTTAATTAAAATGAGTATCTAGTATTTTTTTACTTTTTCGACATAGGTTGGAACTATTGTCATATATATCTTAACAAGTCTTAAGGTTGAATAATTCAGGGTCAAAGGTTAAATATAGAAATTCGGATGCCTAATATTGCGCATGTGTAAGAAATGCACCATAGCTATTAAATTACGATATTAAAACACATGAAAACGATTAAATCGGAATAAAAGATGTAAGTTCAATGTGTCATAAATGTTAGGCTACATTGTGAAGATATGTATAGAAATCTCAAGCTGCCCTAATCTTGAGAGACATCTTTAGGATTACAGACGAAAATATTGCTAATAGCATGTGTAACCAACTGAAAAAACATTGCAATTTAATTATTATAGGTTTCAGGTTTCTTATGAATTCATTTGTTATACTTGGTCGTTTTAATAAGATTTTTTTTTCTACCAGAAATTCTTAGTTATTACTAAAACATCATATACAGTGTATTACGTAATACACTTTCGAATGGTCTGAAACCGAGCTAAATGATAGTTTATATTTAGTAGTTAAATAAATGCCGATATGTATCCAATTTATGACATTTGTCAACAAGATTGATACACACAGTTTTCTTTTTTTATTACAAATATGTTTTAATATACACACAACAATACAATTTATAATAACAGTTATTACAAATGGTTATTACGAACAATGATTTATAACAAAAGTTTCACAAACTTACAAGCAATATGAAGTCTTTTTTCTAGTTTGGAACTTCCTTGGTATCTTATCGAGAGTTGACGATGAGCTGATCACACGCCGATTACTGGTCGAGTTTCCACCGATGACGTTTGGTAATGTTTTCGTAAAAGTACTAATGTCCGATGTCAGTCCACTGAAGTTGAATGATTTGTAATGTTCGAAATATATATAAATGTTTCTGGTCAATATATATATGAAACTCCCGATTACTAAACGTTTATCACAGTTATTTCTTACGACGTTTATAGCATACCAATTGTAGCAAACCAATAATAGATACTATTTTTTGTCGCGTCGCGTTGGTTATATTTATAGGCATATGGAGAGTTTCTCGAAAATTCAGATTACGTAACAATACTGACGCTAACGCTAGCGTTTACGTACACACACACATATATTGTTTATTCTTACACTCGAGAATCTTCTACAACTTTAGAGAAAAGGCGGGAGTTTTGCAATACATATTTAACACTATAAGCTATGCATATTTCTAAATATAAACTTAATCTAAACAAACGTTGGTATTAAAATAAACATATAATAATAAATCCGTCACAAGTGATTCAGTTATGGTTTGTTCCTGTTAAACATTTCTCATTCCTAAAATCAGGTTCAAAGTTAAATTTATCACTGTCATGTGATATCAAACACAGCCTACGAAGTATTCTTATTGTTCTGAGTAACAAAAACGTTTCTAATACAAGCATTTCTGGACAAGTTTACGACAGTATTGTTTGTAGTATATTTCTAAGTAACTTATATTCAACTATATGTTCGTACCTAATTATTAAGCTTCATCTCTGTGCTAAAACGTTTTGATTCTCATAATTAGTAAATGAGCGACAAAAACTGAACATTCGTTTCCTTCTTGAGAAGAAAAATAGGGTTTTAAAGAGAACGAACAGCTTTATCTTTCTTGTACAGAACATCACCAGATCAATAAAACCGGGACTAGCACGTGAAAAATACTAGGTCATACTAGCAGGGGTGGGGGACACAAAGCTGTAGTGCACTTGTTTGTTTTATAATTTTCGCGTACAGTTGCACAAGTATTATGTGTGCATTGCAGTCCCAAATTTTGAGCTGACAGACTAAAGTAAAGGTAGCTAGTCAACAACATCCACCGCCAACTCTTGGGCTATTCTTACCTGATTGAATGGTGAGATTTGATCATATCTCTTATAGCACACTCAAAGCCCAATATTTTGCAGTAAATAAAATCGAACCCATGGATTTATAGTCCGGGCACGCTAATCGCTAGCCACGCCCGGTCCTGTGTAGTTATTCTTAAAATGACGTGACCTAGTATTTATCAAGGTTGTTCATTAGCGTCACTGGTTAAGGTATTTTTCTTGTAACTATTAATATAACATATTTTAAATAAGTATTATTATAAATTGTGAATCTAATATCTCAATTAAAACCTACAGAGATGGGTTTGTGAACACAATGACTCGCTGTTATAGCTGCAGAACATGAAATGCTTACAACTAAAAACCCGCGTCATTGAGTAACCAACGCAGGTCACAAGAAAAACAATTTTCAACAGTTGACCTATTCTCGTTGTTCTGGCATAGCATCATTTGCTGCACGTACACAGGATCTCGATATTTATTTTATTTTTTCAAATATGCATGTAAACATTTAACACAGCGTTAAGTATATTACTTTTTTTAATACGCTGCTATACAGCAGTTTCTGTTTGTTCGTTTGAACAAGTTACGTAATTATTTAGGAGAGAACATACTTTCTAAGAATAAACGATATGATGGAGTGTAATTTCAATATCAACTTTAACGCTCACTTCTTGATAAAGAGGCAAGATTTCACAGTTACTAAAGGCGTCAGAAAAACAAGGGATAGATTCTAAACTTTCTAGGAAAATATCTCTAAGGGTGTGATTTATCTCTGACTAAACGTTTTAGGAGTATATTTTATTTATCAGTACTTCATATCTTTAAGGGTGTGATTTACCTCTGACTAAACTTTTTAGGAGTATATCTTCTTTATCAGTACTTCACATCTCTAAGGGTGTGATTTATCTCTGACTAAACGTTTTAGGAGTATATCTTCTTTATCAGTACTTCATATCTCTAAGGGTGTGATTTATCTCTGACTAAACTTTTTAGAAGTATATTTCCTTTATCAGTACTTCATATCTCTAAGGGTGTGATTTACCTCTGACTAAAATTTTTAGGAGTACATCTTCTTTATCAGTACTTCATATTTCTAAGAGTGTGATTTATATCCGACTAAACGTTTTAGGAGTATATCTCCTTTATCAGTACTTCATATCTTTAAGGGTGTGATCTATCTCTGACTAAAGTTTTTAGGAGTATATCTTCTTTATCAGTACTTCATATCTTTAAGGGTGTGATCTATCTCTGACTAAACTTTTTAGAAGTATATCTCCTTTATTAGTTCTTCACATTTATAAAGGTGTGATTTATCTCTGAGTGTACTTATGATGAATAATTTAATGTTATTATTGTTGTACATTATCCTTATAATATAACAACCGGACAAAAGTTATTGTATGTCACAGTTATATTAATTATAAAAACTTATTGCATTGGAGCAACACCAGAGGCGGACATAACTGACTTCATCTTTCGAAGGTCAAGATTTATATTCTTGGTTAAAATCAGTCACGTGCAAAGTCGTCAGTTCGAGCGTTATATATTACGTTACGTGAAAAGTCGTCAGTTCGAGCGTAACATATTACGTTACGTGCAAAGTCGTCAGTTCGAGCGTTATATATTACGTTACGTGAAAAGTCGTCAGTTCGAGCGTAACATATTACGTCACGTGCAAAGTCGTCAGTTCGAGCGTTATATATTACGTTACGTGAAAAGTCGTAAGTTCGAGTGTAATATGTTACGTCAGAACATCTGACTTATTACAGGCGTGTACCATGTATTTCACTGACTCAGAAAAACGCTCAACTATGAAAATTAAAACCTTTCAAATTTGAATAAGGTTGCATATAAGTAGCATTTTTGGATTTTTTTCTTTGTCGTGGAAACGAAAAAAACAACTTCGTATCTGCAGGCTACGAGCAAAGTGTTCAACTCACATCCAGTAACGTCAGTACTTCCGAAGAAAGCGAAAATAATATCTTACGTTTGACTGGTTCGGGTGGGAAGTGTCAGATATTTTAGATTAAATGATTAATTTAATCGTCACTGTCATTTCTGGGTAAAGAGAGATACAAATTGTCGCCATTATCAGTCATACACATTGTTAGTATCTAGCAGAATATGTGATCAATTCGCGTGCTGAATTATATATTGTCAGTAATAGGGGCGTTAGTTATTCAGATAATTAGATTTAACCAGATTGGATAAAGTAATATGGTCAGGCAATTCAATTATATTTTACATTTTCACTCAGTCATCACCAATAACATCAAAATAAAGAGCTGTAGAGTTTCACACCTTTATCAAGTACCATCAAAATAACGAAAAATCTAACGTTTTACACCTTCATAAGGTAACATCAAAATAAAGAGCTGTAATATTTCACACCTTTATCAAGTACCATCAAAATAACGAAAAAGCTAACGTTTTACACCTTCATAAGGTAACATCAAAATAAAGAGCTGTAATATTTCACACCTTTATCAAGTACCATCAAAATAACGAAAAAGCTAACGTTTTACACTTCATAAGGTAACATCAAATAAAGAGCTGTAGAGTTTCACACCTTTATCAAGTACCATCAAAATAACGAAAAATCTACCGTTTTACACCATCGTAAGGTAACATCAAAATAAAGAGCTGTAGAGTCACACCTTTATCGAGAAACCGTATAAAAGAAACTAGTTGCTTTTAATATTTATGTTATATCACTAAGCAGTTGCCACAACTAGTAGTAAATATATCAACCGCTTAAAACAAAATACTAGCTCCACCTATACGAAAGACATAGTTAAGCGAATGAATTTTGAGAACACGTGCTAAACGCATCAGTAGTATCAAGAAAATCCAGCGCCTTGAATAGTAATTGATTAAAAGTTGTGTAATTTGGCTAAACCTTGGTTTACTGAGAAGTAATGCATTCCCTAAGTTTGAATATGTAAGTGTTCGTGAAAAAAAAAGGAAGTTTTATCCATATAACATCTTTTCCCTTATTGGTGGAAAGAATTTAATAAAAGCCTTCTCGAATATAACAGCTTATATATATATATATATATATATATATATATAACTAAATAATTACTATTAGTAATACTCACAATAAAGAACT